GCTGGATTGTTAAAATGATACAAGTTCTAAATTCAAATAAAGAGGTGAATTACATGCTTTGCTTTCTTTCCATTTATTAACTTGACTACAAAGTGACATAAAAGATCTAATGCTTATACATGAAGTACTTAGTTAATGATAAGCTTAAAAGATCCTGGAAAACTCCATATTGGTGCTTGAAGTTTATCAGCCCAAAAGTGTGGAAACCATAAATATTCTTTACAAAACTGAGAAATAAAGCATCCCTGAACTACATTTTACTACCAAAATATGAGAAAAAAATTAGTTTGCAGATCCTTTCAAAAAACTATAGTAATAAATAATTAATTAGTAATAACTAATTCAGACAGTAATTGCAAAAATGCAATGATATAAAATATAGGGATTTAAAATTTTTCCACATTAGAAAACACTAGTACATGAGATTTTTAATTGAATTACTAGGACTATTTACCACTAAAAATATTTGTTTCGTTGCAGTCTTTTGGCCAAATAACTAGAGCCTTCATAAGACAACTGTACATTGAACAATACTGATTCATTCTTCCATGTAATAATTTAAATTTAAAAAACTGTAAAACTTGAAAATCAACACATTTCCTTTATCTTAATTTAGAAAAGTGAATTTTACCAAAATTTTAAAACATTTTATAATATATATGGTTTTAATGTTTAAAGACTGTAACATATAGGAAATATGCATTGTTTTGATTGTGTATCTACTGTCAGTAGTGATATCTTTGAGTAAGCTTAGAAATGTTTGGAGGTTATATCCTCCTTACTTTTATACAGAACAAGTGACATAGGTATTACATGCTCACTCAGAGGGATAGGTTTATAGAATCTTGTACATAATGCTATGCTGTTTAAGCCTGGAACAATTCTGAAACTCGGATAGTTTTAGATTTTCTGTATGTGTGCTGCTCATCATCCCTTTCAGTTGTTTGCTTTTGATTGTTTTAGGTGATAAAAAATATAACTTTTCATTTGTTTACATCGTTCAGTCTCTTTCTTGTTTCAAGATCAGACTTACTTCTGCATAACATTTTCTGATGTTCTAGCTATCACAGTTGCTATTTTTATAAGAAGGATTACAGTAGTAACCAAGCAACAATATAAACAAAAAGCATTTAATAGAAGTTGAATATATCTTTGAATGTATCCCATGTCAACCAGTCATTATTATTGAGCTTTGACCCTCAAAATCAAATATTTTAACTTAACACAAAGTCTGATGTAAAGTTTATACCATGTTGTGAATCTAAAATTATGTTACAAATGTGATATTTCAGGTGAACTAATTTCCTTGCAATTATTAGATAGGTCTGATTAATAACAGCAAGACTGAACAGGAATTTTTAAGAGTTATCTGAATTTGTAAACTCAAATGATTTTTATGAGGATTAAACAGGTTGGACATGTTTGAAGAAAAGTGAAAATAGTCTTTACTATAGACAAGCACAGAAAAACTAGCGTGCTTACATAAACAGTTGGACATTTGCATCTACTGGATCAATTTAAGAGTTGACAGCTCTTTCTTTTCTTCTTTTCTAGACAGATCTGTGTTGAACCAAGTATGATGAAAACCTAGTAGAACTAAAAAACAAACTCCACACTGATATAGAAAATCTTGGTTTTTATTATTTTTTAAAGTTTTTAGTGCTGACTGAAGGATAGAAATTATTTTCAATGAAGACGACAAACAGCTTCATATGTTTTTTTATTCCACCCAACATTTAGGCTTATGCCTTTTTCAAGAATCTACGAATGTCACAGGTTACAAAACTTTTATTTTATTTTATGATAGTATCACCACATG